TTAGGACATATATAGAGCTGGAAGACATTCAACCTGATCCTGAAAAAGTACATGCATTGAAATTATAAAAAAGTCCTAAAACAAAGACTGCTAAAGAGTGCATTAGGCTTATTAAATATATCGTGATTACATAAAGAATATGCAGAAATAGCTCGCCCATTGACGGAGCTTACAAAAAGAAAATTCCTGAGATAATTCCATGGACTGATGTTGAGGAATCAGCATTAAAGAACTGAAACGTCGACTGTGTGAAGCCACAAAAAGTACACTCCAGAACCAGAAAAACCTTACAAAATAAGTGTGATGCTAGTTCATATGGTGGTGGTGCTGCTTGTCACAACGAGACAGCAAAGCAGTTGCATCCTATCACTTTGCCAGTCAAAAACTTTCGAAAAACTCAGCAGAATGGTCAAACATTGAACGCGAGGCTTATGCCGTGTGTTATCATTAAAAAGTTCGAGTGTTGGGTGTTTGGATCGAATACGAGCTGATCACAGACCATAATCATTATTTATTGTTAAGTCGGCACCGCATTCAGCCAAATTACAGAGGTGGGCAATGGCACTTCAGCGCTATTAATTCATATTTCTCTTTGCCTGGTGCACAATTAAAAAATGCAGATGGTCTTTCAAGACTAGTGGGTGATGAAATAGGTGTGAACTAAGTATGAACTAATAGTTTTAAACTTTGCATTAGTTTACTTTCTTTTGTTCCGGAATTGTACGAGAGCTACTTTCCATCTGTTTTGAAAATCAAATACTGGTTTCCATTTAATATTGCATTATAATAGTGTGTTTTGAAATAGTATTGCATATAGTTTTATTATAGAACTCGGTATTGTATCAAGCCATCTGTTCATCGTTGTGAGATGAATGTTTATTGCATTATTTCAAAGTAGTTATTATGTCATGTATACATGTTCATCATATTTTAAAATTAATTTGCTATGGGAGTATACAATTTAAGTTGTATTTGCTGGTTCAGTTTTCAGATTCTGCTTCGCTTTGGCGTAGCAAATCTTACCGGGGGGGGTGTCATGATCTGGCAGCGGTGAGCCAGCCAATCAGCTGCCTGGCAGAGCCCAGCAAGTAAGAGAGGACAGTGATGTTAGCCTCAGAGGAGGCAGTGGTGGTTAATTATGTTGTAGGAGCGAGTAGTGCGCCGAGTTGCCGTTACTTTAAATGTAATTTTTTTATTATTCTTTGAAAGTTAATTTTTTAATAAATGTTGGTGTCGTTTTCCTCACGGTGCCTTATTAATCCGCAAGGTCATTACACCTAGAAAGTGGAAACGGGAAAAATGGGCAGTGCTTTCCTGTGGACTCTTACTCCAGACGTTCAGATCCGGGCTGCCATGAGAGGGATTTTCAACCCAGATCTGGGACTTTTGATTGTTATCTGGGTTGATAAGGTTTGTTTTCCAAAAGTATCTCATTATCAAGGTAAATTTTAATTTAAATTAAAAATTTATTTTATTTCTCATGAACACAATAAAACTTTATGCATTTAATAAAATTTAAATTTTCTTAATTGGATAGTATTACAATACTGATCATAATTTGTAATATTTCCAGTATTTTCACAAAATGCTACAATATAAATAGATTTCAAAGTTTTTGCACGGTTCTATAGTTTCCGTTCGTATTACTAACATGTTATATGCACCAGAATTGTTTTAGCAAAATAAACGTGTTTTATTAAAAAGTAAAACAATATTTTAATAAATTTTAAATTTTGCATACAATATTAATCAAAAAAATCTAAATAATAATAACACAAAGAGAAAAAAAGGGCAAATTTTCGTGTATTTTCTATCTGAAATCTGAAGTATCTGGATACACTTTGGTGTTCAAATATATTGATTATTCTATATTAGGTGTTCAGACTCGCATTTATTTAAAATAATTCTAAGATGTTTAATCAATGATTAAATAATTTGCTTTAATTTAAATTAAAAATAAACAAATTACAAAATCTTCCGAATGTTCGGAGAAAATTTTCCAAGTGGGACGACACTTGAGAATAAATAATGACAACTTAGTCTCTTCTTGTCATTAATTAAATTTTTCTTCGACGCATAAATAAATGTATATATGTTTAAGTGTCCTGGAGGGCCAGTCCACCCCCGGATGGCCGGGGGATTTTAAACGATGAACAAATTAATTAACGAAAGACATTTTAATTAGACAAACGATTATTACATAAATTTAACATTTAAGAGAATTAAAAAAGTAATGATTCGTCAAAGTTCGTTTTAAAACAGAAGCAGCGTCTCTGCTCCGTCACGTCAATCATCTCAAAACGGTAATTTCCCTAATTTTGCTTTGCGCGTTCTGAGCTCGTAGTAAGAGAAAAAATAATGTCACGGCATCTGGTTTTCATCACAGCTCCAAGCGATCGGCACTACATTTATATGTTAATGCTTGTAGACGTTTCTCACTGCAACTTGGCACTTGATGTGTTTCGATTCTGATAAAGTTTGTAGCCTTAGAAAGAAGTTACTAGAAAAATATCTTCAACACGGATTGTAGATGTTCATCAGTCGTTTTACGTTCTTCTTAATTTTCAGCTGTGGAAAAACAGTTGCTCATATATTAATGTATTCTCAAACAAAGCGATTATTAGTGCAGAAATTCGTAACTGCGCCTATATATTTTTAGACAGAAGTATAATTATTACAAAAATTAATAAAATCTGTATTTTCAAATGTTTGAATAAAATTTATGTCAAATGGGGGTGGCGTGCGATCCGAGCGACGCCAGTTCCATCACTTTTTTAGATGATGAATGGGATCATTTCGCTTAAATCGAAATCTCTTACAAAATCATCCTTGAGTTTTGGTATCTGTTAGGTAATGTAAAAGACGGTCTTTAATAATTCTAAACATAAGACTTATCTAACGTTATGAAATTATGATTTATCTAGCTTTATGACATTTAACTAACCATTTTATCTCACTCTGTGGCTAGCGCAGAAAGAATCTCTTTCCAAATCTTAGATACATGCGCCTTAACTGTTTATCGCCGGTAGTTTATTGGTTGCTTGCGTAACTGTACTAGCCAATGGGATGAAGTTGCCCATGGCACAGTGTTGCCGTTTCAATTGAGACGTAGACAAATTTCTGTAAAACTTGCCTTTGCTAGGACCATCAATAAGTCTCAGGGCCAAACGCTTAAGCGTGTTGGCATTTTTTTACCTGAGCCTGCATTTGGACACGGTCAACTTTATGTTGCCTGTTCAAGAGTTCGTGAAAGAACGGACGTAAAATTAAAAATAATGGATGGTCCTCTGCAAGGCGAGCTTAAAAATGATGGAAAGATATACACAAGATATGCTGTGTACAAAGAGATCTTTGACATATGAATTAACATTTTATTATTTAAATCACCTTTATTTATAGACCTAGTGGTGGTTCTTAAGAAACGTACCGCCAGTGGTTTCCTTCATTGCATTCTACTTTAAGAAATTAAGCAAGTAGAAGGGAAAAACCCCGTGGGGCAGTAAGCAAAGGGGCGTCCCCGCCGCCTGCTCTGGGTAATTCAGTTTTAATTAGCGGACACCTTTGCACAAATCATTTTAACAACAATTTATAATATCTAGAACAGTGGTCATTTCGTATGACCGCCGGGCTTTCTAATAAACTATATGAAACTAAAAGCCAGAAACTCACTTAAAACAGAAACTGTGGTTTATCGGCTAATAGAAAAACAGGCGATAAAAAGAGTTCATCAAATTTGCTGTACGTGAAAACCTAAATTAGAACTGGTAAAAGAAGTCATACAAGGAACTTGTCGAAAAAGGTAATAAAAAAATTTGGAAAAAAAATGTAAAAACTTCGAAACATAAATGTCGAGGGAATGAATGGTATTAAATTTCTAATTAGAATTAAATAATAGGTATTTATGCATATTAATTTAATCTTATTTCTTTACTGTATGATAAAAAACTAGGTTTTTCCTGGACTTATTTAAAGTTGTAATCTAAGTTTGTTTTTAAATTTGTGACTGGAAGCGCTGTTCTCAATATCTAATCGGATTTGCTTCCAATTATGCTACTAACTCAAGCAGTAAGCAGGAAGGAAGCACCTTACAACTTATATCTGAGAGGCCCCCTCCGCGTTATCATCTTAAGAGGGCAGAATGCTGCTTTGCTTTATTTATTTGCAGAATTATCATTTTTGTGAAAGTCTGTATTTCAGTTTGAAGGAAGTAGTAAATTTAAATAAAAGTATTTTTCAGTTTTCCCAAATATTAATTTATATTTTGAATAAAAATGAATTTAAAATTACTATGAATAACAATGTTTTTGTATATTGGCAGAAAACATTGAGGAAAAACTACAAAAATGTGCTTAATGTTAATTCTCTTAACTGAAGTTCGACCAAAGGTTACTGGCTGGTAATTCATGATCAACATTAACATCTTATGCAATTTTTGGTTGATAGTACACGGTCAACATCATCATGTAGTCCAATGCCTTCTACATAGAAATGTGCAAAATGTCATCCCCGGTCTTTCAGAATCTGTGGAAAGGATTGTAAGGAGAGTTTTAAGTTCTAATTTCAAGGGTTATATGAGTAGTTAGATAAAACCTTTGCGTGTGGTATATAGAACATATTGAAAAGTCGTCTGATTGATTATGAAAAATAGCGTGCGACTGAGGGAATGCAGGCAAGAAGACACTAATGCAAGTCTGTAAAGATCTAAAGGTAAACAAAATCTTCATGTAAATGTTCTGGAAACGGTTTACAATCTCTGATGATGTGTGCAGACAGTCAGGGCAAGGTGGCAAATGTGTCATAACAAACCCTCACGATCGTTACTTGGAAACGATTGCTGAAGAGTTAGACAACTGACGTCAGCCCAGATTGCAAAGCAGTACCGAGCAGCTCCACTATCCAGGCGTAGTGGTGTGAGTAACAGGCTGCATAAAAGAGGGTAGGAAGTTTATGATTTACGTGTCACTAATTCGAGCTGCGAAATGCACCTTGTTGCATTGTGGTGCAGATATCATTATGATTAGAGTACCATGGACTCGGTTCTCTTTACTGATGAAGTTCGTTTTTACTTAGACAGTTATTTCCCAAGTGTCACATTCTGGAGGAAGCAACACACACCTAATAAACCAGAAAACATTCGTGAAAGGTATTGGCACAGCAGAGTTGATGAATTATGACACAAGTGGGCATGATTTTAGAGAGTCACACCGACCGATATATTTTTTACCAGCACAAACATGAGGCTGAGAGATACAGAGATACTTATATCAAGCTATTTACTGGTGAAATCATCAATGACCTTTTCCTAACAGTCGATAATGCTCTTCCCTATCACCTTGCATTGATGATTGATTATCTTGAGAGTGAAGGAATGCGACGAATGCAAGGTGGTGCAACTGGAAGCAAGTCCGGTTAGCAATCGTTAACTCCGGAGTTCTAGTCCAGAAGATAACATCCCTTTTTTGAAATAAAAATGCAGCAGACTAACTCAGTTTGATCACTGGATTGCCTGAAATATATTCATATCTATTTTCAGATTCTCAGTTTAAGGAATGTTTATGATGCTGCACACGCATAATTATATAAAAATACATGAAAATTTACCGCACTGCAAATTGCAGAGCAAAAGTAGGCATATTTACGTTAATACATTACAAATATTTGGGAAAATATTACAAAAAATTATTTACTCATATTCATAACATTATACAATATTTATAGAAAAGAAAGCTAACTGAGATCGCGCAATTGTTTAATACTGTAAAAACTGTTTTGAAAACAACATCAGGAAGCTAAGATTGTCAGGACTAAGTTTTCTATGCATACTCTTGGCAAACATAATGGTGACAGTATCAAGGTCCTGATCTCGAACAGTGAGCTGAATGCAGCTATGTTCTTGTGAGTGCTGGAAGAATTACAACGTACGAAGGGTGTAAAAGACCCTTTTATTTAAATCACTATTTACAGTAACTTCCAGCTCGGGAGTGATAATAGAAAAATAATGATCCCGCTTGTTTCTAAACTGAACAATCAAACAAATTTAAAGTAAAGCTTAAGTAGAAATTCAAATAGTCGCAGTTCTCAGAGCTTAAACGCAAGATTGGCCTATCTATGGTGCGTAGCAAGCTTTAGCTAAGTACTAACGCACTTAAATCACTTCAATAAGTATTAGAGTAATAGCTCTAAGGCTTAAGAATTTAAATACTAACTAATCTGGCGAACGTCCACCGAGCCGAAGTGGTCTGAGACTAAAAGCTCTTTCACACTTGAGAAATTCCTCACTAACCTTTAAATACAAAACTTGGCTCCAACACAAATTAGCATAAAGCTGAACCGCGCGCTCATTCTGAAGGGAAGTTGAAATAAGAGTTTAGAGGAAAGGGTAACTTAAAATAAAAGAAATTTGGTTAGTT